GCGCGCTCCCGGGGACTCGGGCCGCTCGCCCCGGGACAGGGCGACGGCCGGAGCGGGGGGAGGAGCCCGATCCCCATCCTCCCGCGGCCAGGGCTGCTCGCAGACGCCCCGGCTGACTGCTTCCCTGCTGTCACCCGCCGCCCAGCACAGCCCGGCACCCACCCCGGGCCACCGCGCTCAGGAACCCATAGCGGCTCCCGGGCTTTCAGCTCCTGGAATCTTAGCGGGTTGTCACTCAGGGCCCGCAGACAATCCCACCTCCTCACTCCTTCCCGGGGCTCCATGCTCTGTGCTTGCCCCTGCACAGCGTCCTGCCTGCTGGGAAGGTGGCAGACCCCAAACAAGTGTTTTCCGTCCTCCTGTCTGACTGCTTATACCCAGGGAAGACCCATCTTTGGCTCAAGTTCCAACCCCAGCCTCTCCCCACAGGCGTCTCGCTCTTGCTCTGAACACACCCTGCCCATCCCTCCTTTGCTCCCCATCTGCTCTCTGGGGGAATGCACCCTCCACACACACCACATACTCTACAAAACCTTTCCCTGACTCCCAGACCACTGGCAGTCCTGTCCCTCAGTCCCTCTGTCCCTCTGTCACCTATTCTGAGCCCTGACCATCGGCCTCAACTTCAGCCTGGATCTGGATCCAGCGAGAATGTAACCCCTCTTCTCTCCTGCCGGGGACCTCCATGCCTAGAGGAGGCCTGGGAGGCTGGGAGGAAGAACTTCCCTTTCAGATGCTACCGAAACTCCAGCGCACTACTCTTCCAGGCCCACAGAGCCCGGGCCCCAGGCTTGAGTGTGTCAGGTCTTCATTTGGAGACACATGTTTCATTCATTCATTCATTCATTCATTCAGCCATCCCTTCTGAGCACAAACTATGGACCATACAAGGGCTGAGGACCCAAAACAAAACTGCACAGACACAGGCTGTGTCCTCCTGGGGCTCCAGTATGGTGGGGAGATGGGAGTCGGGGACACACTCTCAAGGACCTCTGCTTTTGGTGGAGCAGGGCTACTGCTTGCCCGGCGCACACCTTGCTAAGTGAATGGTGTCTTTGTTGAAAATAGAAAATAGTACTCCTTTCCTAGGTGGGCACAGCCTACACCAAGGTACAAGGTGAGTGGAGGGCAGGCTGGATTTTATGCCTTGCTCGTTTGCTTCCTTGGCTGGCACCTTGTGCAGTGAACAACCTGGGCAACCCCCTGTGACATCCCTTCTGACTTTCCAGAATCACTCTGCCCGAGTCTCCCATGCCCCTCACTCTGCAGGGCAATTGTTTCCATGACTGGGGTTTCCCAAGGGCAGGGACCAGCTCCTTCTTGGCGCTGTTTCTCCACCCACCCCAGCCCAGCCCAGGGTCTGGCCCAAAGCAGATGCCATCATATGTGTGTCGACATGAATTCTTCACTCAACGAGTCTTGAGCAACTGCTGTCTTCTTGGCTCTTGCTCTGTTCGCTATTCAGAAGGGGGAGAAGATGACACCGAAGGAGCTCAGGACAGAGTCCTTACCCTCCAAGTCTCCACAAGCCTGGGCAGGAGATAAGACCCGGCCCACATCATGGTAACCCAGCCTGGTGGCAGATAAGGGGTGGAGGGGGTGTCAGCCCAGGGCTGTGGCCCCAGAGGAAGAATCCTCAGCATGGGAGAGCCGGTGGGCTGTGGAGGCCCTTCAGCAAGGGCTTGAAGGACAAGTCACTGTGGGAGCAGTGACACCCTAGTAACAAACCCAAACTATCCCGTCATCTATGTCCAGTGACCTTGGCCTCCCAGGCCAAGCTAGCTCCTCCCACAGCCCGGTGAGCTCTGCTCCTCAGCTCAAAGGATGGGCTCAGAGAAGTTAAGGAACCTGCCTGATGTCACACAGCCAGGTGTGGTGGGGCTGAGATCCCTTATACCAGTTTTATAAAAAGACGGCCCAGAAACCAGAGGGCTTCCTGGAAGCGGCAGCTGCGTGCGGTCAGGCAATAAGGGGCACCTACTAGGTGCCCGGCTGGCAGGTGAGGAGGGAGAAATAAAAGGTGTGTACTCTGCCCCCACGGCACTGCTGTCCCCAAATCTACCCGCTTCTCTGCCTGCCATCCCCATCCGCATCTGGCAGCCTTGGCCACAGACCCTTGGCTGGAGGCAGATGAGTAGCAGGAGACTGCCAGCCTGGATGACCCAGGCCCTGATTCTGGACTTAGGTCTGTTCTCAGCTCACTGTGTGACCCAGGATGAGTGTCTTGCCCTCTTTGAGCCTGAGTCTACATCCCTACAACCTCTCAGTTGGACAATCAGGGCCACCCTCTGGGGCTGACCTTGTAGGAGGCTCATGAAATTCCTCAGAGTTCCCTGCAGTCTCCGGTCAGGAGCCTGGCTCCTGCAGAGTGGCAAGATTCCCCCTCCCCTCCACGTCCCAGGTCGCTGGCTCACCTGTCTGTGTCCCAGCGCTCCTCTTTCAAGTTCCCCTCAAGTACAAGGGCCAGACCTGATGAGGCATAGCGCGCAGTCCCCGAGCTCATCGCCGGGAACACGGGGCATGTGCCCCGGGCAGGGCACTGGGTGGGCTGCTCAGGGGCGTCCATGCCTGGAGGGCCAGACCGAGGGTCCCTGTGGAGACTGCCAGGCTGGCAGGTGGCAGGAGCCTTCTCCCCACTCCCAGGCAGAGCCTCACACTAACCTTTGCTATCTCAAAGGAGCAGCGGCCTGGGAGGGAGGCGCCTCCCCGAAAGGCCTCTATCTCCTTAAACCCCGTAATTATTAACTCCGGTGGCTCATGGCGCAGCACAAGACGCTGGGGCCCTCCTTCCCAGGCTCTGGGCCACGGAAGGTGGGACACCTCGAAGCAAGGTGGGGGCCTTCCTCTACAGGAAGGCTTCCACTCGGCGCACAGGTGGGACTGCCCATCCCCTCCCCGTCCAGGTTGGCGAGCTGGAAGAGTCTGTCCAGCCCTGGTCCTACACTAGCTGGCTGTGTGGCCCCCGCCTACCCCCCAGTCCCTGGCCTCAATATCCCCTTAAAACTTTTAACCACCAACAAAAAGGGACCACTTAGCGTAGCAGTTAGGAACACAGGCCCGGAGTCAGACAGGCCAGATTCAACCCCACTTCCAGACTGAAACTTTGGGCATGTCAGCCTCTCTGTGCCTTAGTTTTCCCAACTATAAAATGGTATCTTACCCTCCAAGGCATACCAGGCCAGCTGCTATTGCCCAGACATGCCCTACTCTCCCCTTTCGTCCTACTGTCCCCTCTCTCTGTAGCCTCCACCCCATCCCACCCCCACTGATAAATTTCTCTTCTCCTCATATGTCCCCTCCAGGAAGCCTTCCCCTGTGAATTGCTTCCTTCCTCTTCAGGCATCGGGCTGGAGCCTTCAAACAGGTGGTCCGCCTTGTGTCACGATGAGTGCCTCATGGCATCATTGGACACCCCCACGAGAACTGAGTGACCCCGTGGGCAGAGGCTGGCCCACGCTCGTCACTGAATCCTTGATGCCCCCTTGCCTGGCACATGGTCAGCCTCCATCCATCCATGGGATGGTTTGAATGTTCCACCCTGTCTCATTAGGCCTGAATTCTAATCCTAGTTCTGCCAGTCCCCGGCTGTGTGACCTTGGGCAAGTCACTTAACCTCTCTGGGACTCAGCTCCCTCATCTATAAAATGGGAACAATTCTCCCCTGTGAAGGTATGAACATTCGTGAAGTGTCTGCCGCGGTGGAGACTGAAACAAGGGTTTCCTGTTCCCTTCTCCCTTGCCTTCCCTCTTTTTCCTGTCAGCCTCAGAGTTCCCGCTGGGGAGAGGCTGCCAGTTCCTGACTCGCTGTCAGGCCCGGATAACAATATCTCCTGCTCAGGCTTGGGCTTCCAAGCTCTCAGCCTAATGCAAACCAGATGCTGGTCTCCCTTTCCTGGCAGTGAATTTTCCATGGCCTGCTCCCAACCCCTTCCTGTTTTTGCTCCTCGCTGGTCCCCCTGCTAAATTCTCCTGTGCCCCAACCTTCCTCTGCAGGGCAACCTCTGGGCCCACCTGGAAACAATTAATGGAAAACAGGATGTGTGAAAGGGGGAGGGTCCTCCATCACCCCCGACATGGTGACATGCTGGGAGAGGAGGGCTCTCAGCCTGGCTGATGACAAAGTGTGTGGAGATGGTCCCTCCCTGCCAAGCCCCTCGCCAGCCCCTGGGGGGCCAACCGAGTCCAAGAGGTGCTGGGGAATGTATAGAAACATTTGCTACTTTCTGGACATTTAGGCACAGCTGGGACTGTGTGGGGAGCTATGAGGACCTTGTCCTCGGCTGTGACTTAGAAAAATCAGAGCCAGAAGAGGCCCAGCCCCCTCCTGTTGCAGATGAGGAAACCGAGGCAAGGAGACTCATCCAGGGTCACTTGTGAGTCAGAGCCAAGAGGCAGACGGGTCTGGGACTGCCTGCCAGTAAGAGCTGCTGCCCCAAGTCACCTCCTGGCTTGCTATCTCAGCGTCATCCCGCCCGCCCTTCCCCCATCGCCACCACGCTGAGCCCAGTCACGAGGGGAGGCTCACAAGGCTGCCTGCCTGCTGCCCAGCCACCTCCCGGCTGGCAGGCGTGCACACCTGGCCCGGCAGACCTGGATCTTCTCCACCAGGGGCTGGGCACTCCCCAGAGGAAGCTCTGGGCCAGCCCAGGGGTGTGCGTGTGTTGGGGGCTCTTCCTTTATCCTCTCAGCCCAGTGAATCCCCTCAGGACAGCCAGGGCTCCCCGGGGCAGCGAGGACTCTGCTCTTTCCCTGCAAACAACAGCCTGAGGGCTCCCTGAAAGCCGGCTGGGCTGCCCCTCCCTCCGCCAGCTGTGCAGAGTGTTTGGACAACTGGATGGAATGTTTTGCAGCCTGGATCCCTGAGCTCAGATTTCAAGAGGGAGGGAGGAGAGGATGCTGGACCCAGGGAGAGAAGAAGAGGCTCCAGAGGTCAAATGTGGGCCTGGAGGCCCCCCACCCAGGCCTGACCGAGACCACTGCCTGCCCAGCCCCAGTGTGGTGGGAGCTGGAGTCAGGCCCAGGCCGCAAGGAAGGGCTGGATGGAGGGTGGAGGCTGCTGAATGGTGTCAGAGATGTGGTCCGGGCGAACTGGTGAAGTCAGGCCCTGGGGACAATCTGGGCTCAGGGAGGGGCCGCGCCCCCGGCAGCATTTTGAGAGCACTAAGATTCCAAGACAGAGGTCAGTTCATCGACCACCACCCCCATTTTACAGATAAGACAATTGGGGTCCAGAGGGGGCAGGCACTCGCCCCAGGTGGGTGTAGAGCTGAGCAGGTGCTCGCAGCATGCTGGGTGTGCAACTGGGCTGGAACCCAGGCTCCTGATCCTAAGCTTTCTCCTCTCACTCTGCAGGCTGCCCCATGCTCCCTCCCAGCCCCCGAGATACACACACACCCCAGCCAGTGAATCGTCATCCTTGCTCTTCCCCCAAAAAACACAGGCGAAATAACCTACTCAAGTGCAGTACTCTAGGGTCACAAAGAAACTACGCTGACACTGAGCTCCCCACCAGCCTCCAAGAGAGTCACATTAACCCACTTGTGGATAAGGGGGGAGGCCCAGAGAGCCAGGAGTCCTGTGCCATCTCCTACCCTGGGGCCGGCGCTCCCCGACATTCCCCACCACAGCTGCCCAGGCCTCCCAGAGCCCCTGGAGTAAGGCTGGGAAGACACACAAGTTCTAACCCAACTTTGTGGAAGATAGTTTGAGCCTCAGTTTATTCAACTTACAATTGGGAGGATTATCCTTACTCTACTTGACTCATCATACTGTGGGTGCTGATGGTGAGGGGCAGGGGGGTACCAGAGGACCCCTTTGGAGACTTAAATATTTCCCAGCAACAAACCCATTGGAAGCTCACATGAAGAAATGAGGGACGGGATTCCTTTGGGCCCAGATGGGTGTGGGAGTCTCACCAAGGTGCCTGGGGGGGTTTCTGGAGGCAGAACCTGTTTGCCCACTCCCAGCTCCTGAGCAAGAAGGCTCAGCTGACCTAATGGAATTCGAGACTCAGCCAAACCTTCAGGGACAGATATGCCTAGAGGGGGAGAGGATGACCCCCCCAGGCAGCTGGTGACTCCCTTCCAAAATGGTAGAATGGGGGGCAGGGCGGAGACCGTGCTAGAATCTTTACATTTGATATCAGATTTAACTCACCCTCCAAACCACCACCACCACCTGATGGGGTCCTTCATTGCTTTCTGCTCCCATTTTAAAGATGAAGAAACTGAGACTTGTAAAAGTTAAAGGATCTGGCAACAGTGAACAAGTGAAGAAAGCAGGATTTTTTTTTTTCTGCTGAGGAAGATTAGCCCTGAGCTAACATCTGTTGCCAATCTTCCTCTTTTTTTTTCGCTTGAGGAAGATTGTCCCTGAGCTAACATCTGTGCCAGTCTTCCTCTATTTTGTACGTGGGATGCCGCCACAGCGTGGCTGACGAGTGGTATAGGTCTGCACCTGGGATCTGAACCTGTGAACCCAGGCTGCCGAAGCGGAGCGCACTGAACTCAACCACTAGGGCATGGGGCTGGCCCTGGAAGTAGGATTTTAATCCAGGTTTATCTGACTCCAAAAGCTCACGTTCTTATCCCTCCTCCACCGTTCATCCTCTCAGGAGGAAGGGTAAGATGAGGGTTTTTGGAGAAAGGAGGACTTGAATAATAAGCAGGATTTAAATGTATAGAGATGGAGGACGGGCATTTTAGGCAGAGCGACCATCAGGAACAGGTGCTGGGATGTGGGACAGAGAGGGCACACACAGAGAGAAGCACACCCTTCACTTTGGCTGGAACAGTAAAGAAAAGACTAGACGGGCAGGCTCGGGACGAATCATGAGAAGCCTTGGAGGCCAAGTTAAAGAGTTTGGACTTTATTCTAAAGACTCCAAGGAGACAGTTAAACATTTTTGAGCAGAGAGTGACATGATCAGACCCCTGGCTTTGGGAAGATTAAACGGACAGCAGTGCAGCATAGAAAATAGAAGTGAATGCTTCTCTAATATCCAAAGAGGGAAAGATTTTCTAAACATAGAAGCGTCTGAAGAGGCCTCAAAAGAAAAAAATCAATAGATCTGTTTACATTAAAATTTAAAACTTCTCTATGTTCCTCCCTTCACTGAAAAATAACCCAAATTAAAAGGCAAATAGCCTGGGGAAAATATTCCCAGCAAATGGCAAAGTGTTAACATCTTTAATATATAAAGAATTCAAAAATCAATAAGAAAAACACTGGGAGCACAGTAAATGCGTTCATTTATTCATTCATTCAACAGATCTTTTTTTTGTACTTTTTTTTTTTTTTGCAAGAAAGAGTGGCCCTGAGTTAACATTTGTTGCCAATCCTCCTCCATTTTGTATGTGGGATGCTGCCACAGCATGGCTTGATGAGCGGTGTTGTAGGTCCATGCCTGGGATCTGAACACCTGAACCCTGGGCTGCCAAAGTGGAGCGCGTGAACTCAACCACTATACCACTGGGCCGACCCCCATTCAACAAATTTTTTTTTTTTTTTTGTGAGGAAGATCAGCCCTGAGCTAACATCCATGCCAATCCTCCTCTTTTTGCTGAGGAAGACCAGCTCTGAGCTAACATCTATTGCCATTCCTCCTCCTTTTTTTTCCCCCAAAGCCCCAGTAGATAG